GGTGGTGGGTGCCTGCAATCCCAGCTACTGGGGAGGCTGAGGCAGGAGAATCACTTGAACCTGGGAGGCAGAGGTTGCAGTGAGCTGAGATCGCGCCATTGTACTCCAGCTTGGGCCACAGAGCCAAACTCCGTCTCAAAAAAAAAAAAAAAAAAAAAGAAGAAGAAGAAGGTGGAGGAGGAGGATCTCTTTCTCTCTCCACCCTTTGAGGAACAGCAAGAAGTCAGAGTCTACAACCCAGGTGAGGGTCCTCACCAGAACCCAACCATGCTGGTTCCTGATCTCTGACTTCCAGCCTCAAGAACTGTGAGAGCACGAATCTGTGTTCCTCAAGCCTCCCAGTCTGTGCCAGCACATGGTTCATTTTATCCATCAGCTGGAGTGGGCCACGGTGCCCAGATTAAGCATTGACCCTCGGTGTGTCTCTAAGGGGGTTTCTGGATAAGCCTGGCATTTGATGGTGAGCTCGGTAGATTGCCCTCCCCAGTGGGCAGGCAGGCATCCCCTAATCCTTCCAAGTCTTGAATAGAACCAAAAGCAGAAAGAGAAATCCACCCCTCTGCTCCCGCTCCCCTGCTTTTTGAGCTGGGACGTCTCATCTCATCTCTCTTGCCCTTGGGCTGCTGTGGACACCATCAGCGCCCCTGCTTCTCAGGCCTTCAGACTTGGACTAAACTACACCGTGGGCTTTCCTGGGTCTCCAGCTTGCAGACAGCAGAGTGGGACTTCTCAGCTTTCATGATCACGTGAGCCAATCCTCATGAAACTGCTCTCCCTCCGTATTGCCTGTTGGTTCTGTTTCCCTGGAGGGCACTGATACACGTATATGATACGAAGCACAAGCAGTCCAATCCTTTCCTCGCCTGTCTCCCACCTCTTCTATCATCCTTCAAACAGCTCAAGTCACTACCATCTTGGAAAAAGCCATCCTGCTCAAGCTCTTTGCCCTCTCCATCTCTGCGCCTCTTCACTGACACATTTCTCTAAAGAATGGCCTGGCCGGGCGCGGTGGCTCACGCCTGTAATCCTGGCACTTTAGGAGGCCAAGGCAGGTGGATCATGAGGTCAGGAGTTCGAGACCAGCCTGGCCAATATGGTGAAACCCCATCTCTACTAAAAATACAAAAAATTAGCCAGGCGTGGTGACACGTGCCTGTAGTCCCAGCTACTTGGGAGGCTGAGGCAGAACCTGGGAGGTGGAGGTTGCAGTGAGCTGAGATCACGGCACTGCATTCCAGCCTGGGTGAGACTGTCTCAGAAAAAAAGGCCTGGAACATCTATTTCTACTTTCCCACTTCTTTCTCACCACACCACCACTCCCATGTGGCTTCCTCCCTGCCCACTGCACCAGCCCTGGGAAGCCAGAAGAACCGAACTGGAGGGAAGTGATGTATCCTGAATGGCTTAACAGAGGCTCCTCACAGCTCGTCAGTTCACCGCCTATTGGTCACACCAGGTCACATGGCCACACCTCACTGAACAAGAGGCTGGGAAATGTAGTCTTTGACTGTGATAGGGTTTGGATGCTTGTCCCATCCAAATCTCATGTTGAAATGTGATCCCCAGTGTTGGAGGTGGGGCCTAGTGTGAGGTGTTGGGTCATGGAGGAAGATCCCTCATGAATGGTTTGGTACCCTCCATGCAGTAATGAGTGCCTTCTTGCTCTGTGAGTTGATGTGAGATCCAGTTGTTTAAAAGAGCTTGGAACTGTGGCTGGGAGTGGTGGCTCACGCCTGTAATCCCAGCATATTGGGAGGTTGAGATGGGTGGATTGCTTGAGGCCAAGAGTTCAAGACCAGCCTGGCCAACATGGTGAAACTGCATCACTGCTAAAAATACAAAAATTAGCAGGGTGTGGTGACACATGCCTGTAGTCCCAGCTGCTAGGGAAGCTGAGACATGAGAATCGCTGGAACCTAGGAGGCAGAGGTTGCAGTGAGTCAAATCATGCCACTGCACTCCAGCCTGGGTGACAGAGTGAGACTCCATGTAAAAATAATAATTAAAAAAAAGATCCTGGAACTCCCTCCTCATTCTCTCAGTCCTTCTCTCACCATGTGATACTCCAGCTCCCCCTTTATCTTCCACCATGATTGGAAGCTTCCTGAAGCCTCCCAGAAGTTGAGCAGATGCCAGTGCCATGCTTGTATAGCCTGCAGAATGGTGAGCCAAATAATAAACCTCTTTTCTTTATAAATTACCCAGTCTTAGATATTCCTTTCTAGCAATGCACAATGGACTAAGGCTGGCATCCAGCTGTCCACCCTAGACTTGGAGAGTCGAGTTACTAAATGGACGAAGTGTCCATGGAAGGATTGTCCACAGCCAATCTCCACACACGGGCGTAGGTTCATCCTCAGAGCTCCAGGCAACTCCTTGGAAGCCTCATGGGACCCTCAAAACGTGACATGTACAAAACTGACCTCTACCCATGCCCCCCCAATCCTGCCATCCCCATACTCCTGGTCTTTCAGGTTCCCTGGCTCCATGAGTGACCCACAGCTGCTCGGGCACCCAGAGGACCCTGGCCCTCACTGTGGCACCATTCAGTCTTACCTCCTTAATATCTCTGAGCTCTGGCCACCTCCCTCCATGGCTAATGCTCCTGGTCCAAGCCACTCCCACCCTCTCTAGGCCTATGTATACCGTCCTTCCTTTCTTAACACCTTCTTTTGTCCCCAGGTAGCCCATTCTCCAGCATCTTTAAAAGGCCATCTTTAAAAAGGCCATCTCTCAGGCCAGGCACCACATCTCACACCTGTAATTCCAGCACTTTGGGAGGCCAAGGCAGGTGGGTCACTTGAGGCCAGGAGTTCAAGACCAGCCTGGCCAACATGGCAAAACTCCGTCTCTACTAAACAAAAATACAAAAATTAGCCAGGTGTGGTGGCGGGCGCCTGTAGTCCCAGCTTCTCGAGAGTCTGAGGCAGGAGAATGGCTTGAACCCAGGAGGCAGAAGTCGCAGTGGGCTGAGATTGTGCCACTGCACCCCAGTCTGGGCAACAGAGACTCTGTCTCAAAATATAAAACATTTTAATTAAAAAAAAGAAAAAGGCAACTCTCAATGTCAACACCTTGCTTAAAACCCAAGAACTATTGCTTCTAGGATACAATTCAAACGCCCTCCATGGGCCCTGTAAGATTTGATCCCTGCCTTGTCCACTCTCCCGAGGCGCAATCCCAGCTCCTGCTATAGTCACGTCTGTCTCTTTCAGGTCCTCCAAGACACCTGCTCATCATAGGGTCCTCCTGCCTGGCCAAGAGTCCTGTGTGCGCACACACACGTACACCCACACACGCATGCACACTCACATGTGCGCACACACCCACCCCACCAGCTCCTACTCAGCCCTGGGAGCCCAGCTTCAGTATCATTCCCTGTTGTCTCCCCGTCAATCTCCCTGCTAGGCTCTTTCTATTTGAGCTCCTTGTGCTCCCCTGTAGCACCCATCCCAGCTGCCATGAGTCAACCTCAGTGCTCATTTCTTTTCCTTTTCGCCCAGTAAATTCTGTTCCCCTCCTGCTTCAGTGTGTGTGTGTGCCTAATTTTTCCTGGTCGAGTGACAAGAGCCTGGTTTTAGCTGAATAAAGGAGCTAAGTCCTGCAACACCAAGACACCAAGACTGGGACACCTCCTGGTGACATGGTGACCTGAAGGGAGTTGGGGACGTGGCCCCTTGAGCCTCAAAGTGCAGCACTAGGGCTCTGCCAGGCATTGCAGGAGGCTTGAGGGATGTGGAGAAACAGCTTACAGCTGCCCTGACATCACATCTGAGGACCTTGAGCAAAGATAGAGAAGGACCCTCACTTTCCAGAAGCACAGCCAGGCTTTTGGGGTGGATGCACCACGCTTTCCACAGGGCAGCACAAACACCAGGCCCTCAGAAAGTGGCCAGAGCAGTGGGGACTGAGTATGAAAGGAAGATAAATCTTGGGAACCCCAAACTAAGCCGAAGGGAAAATTCAAGCTGGGAACTGGACCATGTGCTCCCATTTTTGTTCCTAAGTGAGATGGCTACAAGATAAGGCCACACACCTCCCTTACATTGCGCCCACAAGGAAATTCCCCTTCAAATACTGAAGCTCTCAAAATCATCTTCAGAGAAAGGCATAGACCTGCCTCCCAGGCACATGTCCTTAATTTTGCAAATAAACCTCCCGAAATTATCTCATTTTCCTCGATTGACAGGAGCTTGCTGTGTTTCTCTTCCTGTCTGGTGGTTGGACTGGGTACGACAGAGTGGGTGTCTAGCTTCAGTCCGCCCTGCTAGGGCCACCAGCCAAGGACCCCCGTCACTCATTTTTTTGAGTGAAATCCCTTGTGGGCCCCTAAAGGGTTTCTGTTAAATTTCACCATGGCAATGTCAATTGATAGCTTACCTTCACAGGTGTCGGGGAGACACTGCACCAACTCAGACATCCCTCCGCCCACCTGAGACAAGTGCGTAGCTGATTGCTTCCACTGCCCTATTGTCTACATTATCTTAGGTAAAAATGCAGACTCACCAAGCCAGACAAAGGCATGAATGACTATTTTCCCCTACCTCCCTCTCACATGAAAATTTTATATTTCTAGCTGGGCACAGTGGCTCACACCTGTAATTCCAGCACTTTGGGAGGCCGCGGTAGGTGGATCACTTGAGGTCAGGAGTTCAAGACCAGCCTGGCTAACATGGTGAAACCCCGTCTCCACTATGAATACAAAAAAATTCGCTGAGCGTGGTGGTGTACACCTGTAGTCCCAGCTACTAGGGAGGCTGAGGCAGGAGAATCACTTGAACCCAGGAGATGGAGGTTGCAGTGAGCCGAGATTGCACCACTGCACTCCAGCCTGGGCAGCAGAGTAAGACTCTGTCTCAAAAAAAAGAAAAAGAAAAAAAAAAGGAAGGAAATTGTGTATTTCTCAATAGCCTGCCCTTTTTCCTTTAAATAAATACCTTTCTTTGAAGATGATTTTGAGGGCTTCAATATTTAAACCTCCTGAAATGATTGAGACTCACCTGGGTCATTTTCCTCGATGGACAGGCGCTTGCCTCGTGTTTCTCTTCCTGGCTGGGTGTTGGATTGGGGGGCCGGGGAGTTGGTGTCTGGCTTCAGTCCTCCCTGCCAGGGCCACCAGCTGAGGACCCCCTTCACTCTTTTTTTGCTTCTATCAGTCACAGCCCACGTCCAGATAGGGCAGGGATGAGCTGAGAGAACGCAGTCGTCCCCCGGGGCAACACTTCCTCCCAGCTGAATGAACTTGGAAAGTCAATTTGATGAAGACATTACCCATCATTAAAGAAAATCGCGGGTCCCTTTCCCCCTGCCAGGGATATCTGCAGACACGAGAGGCCAGGCCATCTGGGTCTCATCAGGTTCCCCACCTCCCTCTGTCTACTGGGGCCCTGCCACGTGTCCTCCTGCTGCATTCCCAGCAGAGGAACAGGAGGTGGCCTTTGTCCTCCTGCCCAGGCGCGTCCTTACCCTTGAAGTTGTGTGGAAAGGGAGGGCCGAGCCCTGAGCAGTCAGGCTGGCCAGGCAGACGACCCTTCCCTTCAGGGGCAGGATACTGTGGCCAGAGAGAAGTCCCTGCCCACCAGGTTTCCAGAGGTCACAGCAAGGGTACACACTGGAGGCCTGGGAACCTTTTCTCTTTTGGAGTCTCTGCACGCAGGTCCTGGGGGTGAGGCCCCCCACAAAGCACAGAAACGCGTGGATTCCAAGCCATCCAGGCTGGGAAACAGCGTGGGGTCTCTGGAGTTTGTCTCTGCCCACACAGGGAGATGTACCTGGGGCACAGGCAGGGGTCACAGACGCGCCTCATGTAGATTCAAAGAGACAGGGACAGACCAAAAAGGGATGTTGCAGGGGAAAGAGCCGAACTTGATCCCAACACCACCTGGCAGACGGGGACTTACAGTCATGAGCAGTGAGGGGTCAGCGGATGGAAAATTGTTAAGAGGAGAACTTCAAGGGGAAGGGGTTCTTGCTAAAGGCAGACCAAGGACCTGGACATGGCCGGGGGAAAGCAGGAGTGCTGAGGAACTCAATCAGATTTCAAGGGTCGGGGTGACTCAGTAGGATTCTCCGAGACTGGCTTGGGCAGGCTGAGGACAGGGCTGGAGAACGGAGGCCTCATCAAAAGAGGGTTCAGTGGGCCAGACATGGTGGCTCACATCTGTAATCCCAGCACTTTGGAAGGCCGAGGCGGGTGGATTGCCTGAGGTCAGGAGTTTGAGACCAGCCTAGCCAACATGGTGAAACCCCATCCCTACTAAAATACAAAAATTAGCCAGGCATGGTGGTGGGCGCCTGTAATCCCAGCTACTTGGGAGGCTGAGGCAGGAGAATCGCTTGAACCAGAGAGGCAGAGGTTGCAGTGAGCCAAGATCGCACCACTGCACTCCAGCCTGGGCGATACAGCGAGGTTCCATCTAAAAAAAATAATAATAAAAAAAAAAAAGAGGGCTCAGCAGAGTCTGCCTGAAGTTGGGTCAAGGAGAGAACCTTTCATCAAACCTCAGCATCACGAGGGGGTTCTGAATTTGGGGAAGGAGGAAAGGTTGAATCTCAGGACTTCAGGCATGGGGTGTCCCTCCCCTGGAGCGTAGTCTGGCTCCTGGGGGCTGGCATCTGTGTTCTCAGTAGGATCAGTGTTCAGTAGGAACCCTTCCACTTCACAGGGGGTGCCCGCAATGTGAGCATCACTGAGCCCCATCCCTCCTGCCATCTCCCCATCTGCACGTTCTGTGTCCATCGCAAGCAGCTGCAGGTGGCATCGGTCCATTCGATGCGTGGTGAGAAGGCAGTCCAGCCCGCGGGCGGGGAGCTGCCCCTCCCTGACCTTCCTTCCTGCTCAGTCACACCCACTCAGCTCATGCTGTGATTATGCTAAGAATGCACCTGCAATCTGCATTTTTATTAATTAGATAAGACAAGTCTTCTATAATTTTCCTTTTTATTTCCCCCCACCCCCTTAGAGCAGTGGTTCTCAGAGTGGGGCCCCTGGACCAGCAGCCTCTGCATCAGCTGGATGCTCATTGGGATCACAGAGCCCGTGGCCACTCCAGGGCCACCCCGGAGCCACAGAGGCAGAAAACCTGGTGGGGGGAGGGGCAGCAATCTGTAGTTCACAAGCCCCCAAGGGACTCTGATGCAGGCTAAGGTTTGAGAGTCTCCAATTTAAGAGTAAAATTTTGGTTTCTGTTTTAAGTAAATTCACTGAAAGCAGCCAGTTATCCTCGCTAAAAAGGCCCTCAGTGTTTCTTTCTGTTTTTTTTTTTTTTTTTTTAGGAAACTTGCTGTGCTGCCCAGGCTGGAGAGCAGTGGCACAATCATATCTTGCTGTAATCTTGCCCTGTGGGGCTCAAGCCATCCTCCCACCTCAGCTCCCGAGTAGCTGGGACTACAGGGGCACACCACCATGCCTGGCTTTTTAAATTTTCTATTTTTTTTGTTGTTGTTGAAAGAAAGGGTATCTCTACATTGCCCAGGCTGGCCTTGAAATCCTGAACTCAAGCTATCCTCCCACCTCAGCTTCCCGAGTAGCTGGGACTATAGGCCCACTCCTGGCTAATTTTATTTTTTGTAGAGACAAAAAATAAGACTCACTTTGTTGCCCAGGCTGGTCTTAAACTCCCGGTCACAGGCAATACTCCTGTCTTGGCCTCCCGAAGTTCTGGGAGTGCAGGCGTGAGCCACCACGCCTAGTCTTCCCTGCTTTATAGTCATTCACACCTGAGGCCCAAGTTGCCTTCAACAAGCCCCACGAGTTACCTGAGTGGCAGGTGTAACTTAAGGCTGAGGTTCTCTGCTTAGCCACAGGCAGAATCACCTGGGAAGCTTTGAGAACTAAGGGCACTGGAGGGTCGGGGCCAAGCGTGGAGGCTTTCAAAGCACCTGTTTGGGTTCAAGTATAGACAGGGCAGGCAATCTTTGCTCCAGGGGTCCCTGGTCCTCAGAAGTGACTCTTGCTGCCCTGGGTCTATTTCAGCAGAACCAACGCCAGCCAAACAAATGAGAAATCAGGGCAGTCTGGACTCAGAGACAAATGCTTTCCAGTGAGCAGCCAGGCGCACAGCAGAACGATAGAGGGGCACTCTGACCTCAAAGTACCTGTCACCTCAGCCATGGCGGTTGGGCTCACTCACGGTGACTGTTTCCCTAGCAGGAGAGACCGTGGCTGTGAGCCTGCAGCCTGTGCCTCCTGCTGCTACAGGGAGAGAGGGAGTGCCCGGCGCCTACCTGGCCTTTTCCGGGCTGTCCGTCCGCTCATTACGCCCCTTGCCCCAGCTCACTTCACATGTCCGTGGGGTGGGGATTTAAGGACAGGCTGGGCTCTAGGAGGTCAATGGTCCCTCCCTGGGCTTCCAGCATGTTATAGCTCGACTTCTACCAGACACCTGAAAATATCAAATTTATTTTCTTAAAAGGACAAAGACCGTTTTTCTTTGGAATATATATATTATATATATTTTATATATTTTTAATAAATATATATATATTTAAAAATATATATATATATGTTTTTTTGAGACGGAGTTTCACTCTTGTTGCGCAGGCTGGAGTGCAATGGCACAATCTTGGCTCACTGAACTCTCTGCCTGCCGGGTTCAAGCAATTCTCCTGTCTCAGTCTCCAGAGTACCTGGAATTACAGGTGTGCACCATCACGCCCAGCTAATTTTGTAATTTTTGTAGAGACGGGGGTTTCACCATGTTGGCCAGGCTGGTCTGGAACTCCTGACCTCAGGTAATTCACCTGCCTCGGCCTCCCAAAGTGCTGGGATTACAGGCGTGAGCCACTGAGCCTGACCCTGGAATACATTTTTTTAAACCCTAAACTGTATTATAGAATAATCTCTTCCTCAGTGACTCGGTTTATAATATCTCATACTGGAAACAAACAAACAAACAAACAAAACTCTATGACGAAAACCAAGTGCTCTAAGTTAAATACCTGAGTCCAAATAATGTCAAAAAGCAGCAAGGCACCAGGCCTCCCCCATTCAGATAGCACCCTCCCCTTCCTGCCCCGTGCTTCTGTTGACCTTTGGTCCTGTTCGCAGGAAACCCTCAAGTTTAACTCTGAACTTGAGGGGAAGGAAGGGAGTGAACCACATGGCCCTGGGGTCCGGGCCTCTGGCCGGAAGGGCGCTCAGCTCGGTCTGTAAAATGAAATGTGCTTTGAATGTCATGGGTCAGGAAAAAAGAATTTGAGCGCAGTCTGGAAATGAGATTTCCTGCCTGTGGTTTGACTCACGTCTGTCTGTCTGGAAATCTACCCCAAGGACATTCATTCCACTGTGACAGGGCTCATCTCTGCGGAGCACCGGACTTCTGCGGTGGGGAGGGAAGACCGTCGGCGCTGCGGAGACCAGCCGGCCTGCGGAGGCCGCCTCCCGACCCCGCGTCAGTCACCGCGCTGGATGGCGCAACCCAGACTGGGAATTAATTACCCAAGGCGCGTCTCCGTGCAGTCTGGCCTCTCTCCCCGAAGGCTTCTTAAGCAATAGGGTACGAGCAGGAGTTGGAGACCAGCCTGGCAAACGTGCTGAAACCCCATCTCTATTAAAAATACAGATGGGGGCCGGGCGCGGTGGATCGCGCCTGTAATCTTAGCAATTTGGGAGGCTGAGGCAGGCGGATCACTTGAGGTCAGGAGCTTGAGACCAGCCTGGCCAACATGGCAAAACTCCGTCTCTACTAAAAATACAAAAATTAGCCGGGCCCGGTGGCGGGCGCCTGTAATCCCAGCTACTGGGGAGGCTGAGGCAGGAGAATCGCTTGAACTCGGGAGGCGGAGATTGCAGAGAGCTGAGATCACACCACTGCACTCCAGCCTGGGTGACAGAGGGAGACCCTCTCTCAAAAAAAAAAAAATTACAGACGGAAACAAGGAATCGCAATAGTCCTTATTGCCTTTCTTGTCTTGCCTGGCTGGTACTAAAGTATGCTGATGAAAGAAAAAAAAATATTTTTAACGATTTCACGTTAGTTTTATTTAGAGTTTTATTGAGGACTAGAGACTGACCACAGCCTGGGAGAAGTCTTTTAGAGGGGGTTTGTTGGACTGTTTTGAAATAATATTTTAATTTACAGTTTATATACAGGTAGTGGGGATTTAGTAGGTGTAAAATTATACTAAAGCTTGGGTATGAGAGTATATCTGGTTATAGATTATAGAATAATTATTAAAAATGAAAAATAAAATCCTGAGCCCCACCACCAACTGAAAGAACCCCCTTTTGGCCAAGTTGGCCACAGAGATACCTGAAACATTGAATTCCCAGCCCGACCTCCCAGGGAGGTGAGGCCCACCTGGTTATATCCCCTCTCTCTGTTTTTTGTTTTTTTTTTTCTTGAGACGGAGTCTTGCTCTGTCACCCAGGC